TGGCCGTATAGTCCCAGAAGTGAGAGACCCACTTTTGGAAGGCAAGAATTTTGATGTTGGGTAATAGCTATTATCTATCATCACCATCCTCTTCTCTACTTCCACCTCTTCCTCCTATCCCAGCACCATCCTGTGCCTTGCAGCACTGAAGACTCTGCCTAGATCACACATCCCAGGAGGTGGAGGCAGTGGGGAGGGCTGAGGGCGGGGCCTGGGTCCCCCACCTGTCGGGCTTTGTGCCCTGGCATCACTGCTATTTAAGCAGCTTTCTCTCGCACACAGACCCCGTGTACCTGCCGGGAGCTGAGGGCATCAGTTCCAGCTTGGTCCTCACAGCCACCAGGAATTGCAGGTGTTAAGAGAAGGCAGGTAGGAGTGGCCCAGAGAGAGTTAGGATTTCATCCCAGCTTTGCCACTAACTGGTTGTAGGATCTCAGGCAAGTCACGCTACTTCTTAACAACTTCTCTTTTTCTGTTGCAAAATGAGAGACTTAGACCAGATTTGATTTGTTTTTTAGCACAGTTGTGTGCATTTTCCATAGGTTGTGCTCTTTGCTGGATGCCAAAATGAGAAGACGTCCAGGCAGGGGCCTGAGCCACACACCATGGTTATAAGTGGGACGGGGTGAAAGCACAGCCACGGAGGCCATGGGGTCGGGAAGCCCCTTCCACAGCAGCAGCCTGGTGAGGGAGTTGGGAGCGTCTGTGCCAAGGAAGGGGCACACCGGGCGGGAGGTGGGCACTACAAGCCCTGAGACCTGGAAGTGTTTGAAACCCCATACCTTGTGGCAATGGAAGCGTCAGAGTCCCGGAGGAGAGAGGAAAGGCCGGGAGGCCACATCAAGCTGGCTCTGTTGCCCAGACTGGAGTGCAGCAGTGCGATCACAGCTCGCTGCAGCCTTGAACTCCTGGCCCCAAGCGATCCTCCTGCCTCAGCCTCCCGAGTATGAGAAAGGGTTTTTCTGAGGCAAATGGCTGATCCGATTCGCCCCATGGGGAAGCTGGCACTCTGGGAGTCCCGGCACAAATGGCAGACAGAGGGTCTGCAGGAGAGGAGCCCAGTTCAAGGGAACAGAAAATCGGGTCGCCCGGATGTGTCTGGTGGGGAACACTGAAGGGAAGGAGCCGCCTCAGGGTGTGGCCCGTATGTAATGGCAGAGAACGCCAGGAAGGGTTCCTCCAGCCGTGCCTCTTTGAAGACATTTGCTGAGCCCTCCACATGCCTCTCCTCCCAGGTCTAAACATTCCCAGTGTCCCCGCTGTTTCCCACGGCATGTGGGCCCTCAGCCTGCTCTGGGTAGAGGGAGGGCCTTAGGGGCGTGGACACCAGTCCGAAGTTCTGCCTTTGGTCCTCCATGAGGCATTTATCACGCCTGATCACACACAATTTTTTCTCAAACATAACACCATAAAAATCCAAACAATTTGGTCACACAATTAGTCCAATTATATCCTAATGAAAAAGGAGGACAGATTCTTATTGAATCTTTGCAAATAATGATGCAAAAATCCTTAACAAAATATTGACTAACTGAATCCAACAGCATGTAAAAAAGATACTCCGCCATGATCAAGTGGGTTTCACACCAGGGATGCAGGGATGGTTTAACACATGCAAGTAAATAAATGTGATACACCACATAAACAGAATAAAAACAAAAATCACATGATCATCACAATAGATGCAGAAAAAGCATTTGACAAAACCCAGCATCCATTTATGATTACATCCCTCAGCAAAATAGGCATAGAAGGGACATATCTTAATGTAGTAAAAGCCATCAGTGACAAACCCACAGTCAACATAATACTAAATGGGGAAAAGTTGAACGTATCTCCCCTGAGAACTGGAACAAGACAAGGATGTCCACTCTCACTACTTCTATTCAACATAGTACTGGAAGTCCTAACCAGAGCAGACAAGAGAAAGAAATAAAGGGCATCCAGATTGGTAAAGAAGAAGTCAAACTGTCACTGTTTGCTGATGATATGATCATATACCTAGAAAACCCTAAAGACTCTCCCCAAAAGCTCCTAGAACTGATGGAATTCAGCAAAGTTTCAGAATACAAAATTAATGCACCCAAGTCAGTAGCTCTGCCATACACCATCAGCAACCAAGCTGAGCATTAAATCAAGAACTCAATCCCTTTTACAATAGCTGTAAAAATAAATAAATAAAACGAAATACTTAGGAATATACCTAACTAAGGAGGTGAAAGACCTCTAGAAGGAAAACTACAAAACACTGCTGAAGGAAATCATAGATGACACAAACAAATGGAAACACATCCCATGCTCACGGATGGGTAGAACCAATATTGTGAAAATGATCACACTGCCAAAAGCAATCTACAAATTCAATGCAGTTTCCATCAAAATATCACCATAATTCTTCACAGAACTAGAAAAAACAGTCCTAAAATTCATATGGAACCAAAAAAGAGCTTGCATAGCCAAAGCAAGACTAAGCAAAAAGAACAAATCTGGAGGTATCACATTATCTACTTCAAACTATACTACAAGGCCACAGTCACCAAAACAGCATGGTACTGGTAAAAAAAATAGGCAAATAGACCAATGGAACAGAATAGAGAACCCAGAAATAAACCCAAATACCTGTAGTCAACTGATCTTTGACAAAGCAAACAAAAACATGAAGTGGGGAAAGAACACCCTATTTAACAAATGGTGCTGGGATAATTGGCAAGCCACATGTGGTAGAATGAAACTGGATCCTCACCTTTTGCATTATATAAAAATCAACTCAAGATAGATCCAGACTTAAATCTAAGACCCAAAACCATAAAAATTATAGATGATAACATTGGAAAAACCCTTCTAGACATTAGCTTAGGCAAAGACTTCATGACCAAGAACCCAAAAGCAAATGCAACAAAGACAAATAGATGGGACTTAATTAAACTAAAAAACTTCTGCACAGCAAAAGAAACAATCAGCAGAGTACACAGACAACCCACAGAGTAGGAGAAAATCTTCACAATCTATACATCTGGCAAAGGACTAATATCCAGAATCTACAAGGAACTCAAACAAATTAGCAAGAAAAATATCAACAGTCCCATCAAAAAGTAGGCTAAGGACATGAATAGACAGTTCTCAAAAGAAGATACACAAATGGCCAACAAACATGAAAAAATGCTCAGCCTCTCTAATTATCAGGGAAATGCAAATCAAAACCATAATGCCACTTTGGGAGGCCAAGGCAGGAGTATCATTTGAGGTCAGGAGTTTGAAACCAGCCTGGCCAACATGGTGAAACCCCTGTCTTCACTAAAAATACAAAAATTAGCTGGGCATGATGGTGGGCACCTGTAATGCCTGCTACTCAGGGGCTGAGGCACGAAAAATGCTTAAACCTGGGAAGTGGAGGCTGCAGTGAGCTGAGATCGTGCCACGGTACCCCAGCCAGGGTGTCAGAGTGCAACTCTGTCTCAAACAAACAAACAAAAAGAACAAAACCACAATGCAATACCACCTTACTCCTGCAAGAATGGCCGCAATAAAAAAAAAAAAAAAATCAAAAGAATAATACATGTTGGTGTGGATGTGGTGAAAAGGGAACACTTCTACACTGCTGGTGGGAATGTAGACTAGTACAACCACTATGGAAAACAGTGTGGAGATTCCTTAAAGAACTAAAAGTAGAACTACCATTTGATCCAGCAATCCCACCACTGGGTATCTACCCAGAAGAACAGAGGTCATTATACAAAAAAGATACTTGCACATGTATGTTTATAGCAGCACAATTTGCAATTGCAAAAATATGGAACCAGCCCAAATGCCCATCAATCAATATAAAGAAATTGTGTTATGTATACACCATGGAATACTACTCAGCCATAAAAATGAATGAAATAATGGCATTTGCAGCAACCTGGATGGAACCAGAGACCATTATTCTAAGTGAAGTAACTCAGGAATGGAAAAACCCAACATCGTATGTTCTTATAGGTGGGAGCTAAGCTATGAGGAAATAAAGGCATTAGAAGGACACAATGGACTCTGGGGACTCAGAGGAAAGGGTGGGAGGGGGTGAGGTATAAAAGACTACAGACTGTGTGCTGTGTACACTGCTTGGGTGATGGGTGCACCCAATCTCAGAAATCATCACTAAAGAACTTACTCATGTAACCAAATACCACCTGTTTCCCAAAAACCTATGGAAATAAAACATAAAAATACATTTATAAAACAAATAAATATTACTAATAATGATGCATGGATATTTTATTTAGGAAGCTAATGGGATTTATTTATTTATTTTGAGACAGGGTTTCTCTCGTTGCTTAGGCTGGAATGCGGTGCTGTGATCTCAGCTCACTGCAACCTCCGTCTCCTGGGTTTAAGTGATTCTCCTGCCTCAGCCTCCCGAGTAGCTGGGATTGCAGGTATACACCACCACGCTCAGCTAATTTCCATATTTTTTTGAAGAGATGGGGTTTCACCATGTTGGCCAGGCTGGTCTCGAACTCCTGACCTCAAGTGATCCACCAGCCTCAACCTCCCAAAGTGCTGGGATTATAGGCATGAGCCACCGTGCCTGGCCGCTAATAGGGATTTTAAAACAGGAAATAGACATGCTTAAATGTCTTGGTAAATATATCTAGATCATAAAGATATGTGTGAAATTGTGTATAGCTTTGAAAATAAAACAAAAAAAGGGAAAAGAACTGGGGAATTTAAACCTAAAAACACAAACAAATTTACATCTTATCAAAAATAAAATATATGCCTGCATTATATGCAACATAGAAAAAAATGAAGAAAAAGGTGTATTCACTGTCTTTAAACCAAATTTATCAAACTGATTTGTTTAATCACTTTGATTACATGAACTTAGTTTCTTATGGAAAAAAATGCTATGAGGGATAGTAATTTTGAGGAGAAATATTTTTTCTTGAAAGACTAACACATTTAAAATATTAGAAGGCCAGGTATGGTGGCTCATACCTTAACCCCAGCACTTTAGGAGACTGAGGTGGGAGCATCGCTTGAGGCCAGGAGCTGAAGACCAGACTGGGCAGTATAGTGAGATCCCATCTCTAAAAAAATAATAAAAATAAAAAATAAAATATTAGAAGTTCAGTTTCTGTATTTTCTGGGGATTTTGAGGATATTAAATTCATATAAGCACTTATCAGCCATTCAGGACAAAGTTCCTTTGCTGTAAGAAACTTTGCAATCTAATTTATCAATACATTGTTGATGTAAGAAAAGATTTCAGACACCAGGAGAGGTAAAGGCTTTTCTCGCTGGAGGCTCCCAGACCCGCTGAGTGCGTGTGGCTTGTGTGATGCGTCCTCAGCCAACCCAGAAGCACCACTCATGGGTCCACATCCTAAAACCTGTTCTCTTTTCCAGGGGGCGCAATCCATTCTTTTGATGGAGTTGAGCTCGCAGGAGGACAGGAGGAAAAGAACAAGCCGGATTTTCTGTCCTCTCTCCGTGGAGAATGGACCCCTCCTGCCCCAGGAGAGACAGATCCCCCCAGGGCAGACCGGAAAACCCGACTGTCAGTCATTGCTGAGAGGACTTGCACCTTGGACGGGGCCAAACCAGAGCCAGAACCGAGGCAGGCGCCACAGCAGGAAGGAACACAGCAGCGCGGGGAGTCAGCAAGGGAAAGGGCTTGTGCCATGTGGGGTCCGCCGTGGGCTGAGACTCAGTGTCCGCAGCAGGTTCAGCGACCTCGAGGCCCGGCCGGCAGGTGGAGTTCTGTAGCTTTGCTGGGGGAGTCGCAGAGGCATCTTGGCGGGACCCCCAAAACCTTCAAACAAATTTGCAAAAAGATGAAACATAACTTTCTACAAATATAGAGTGAACACGTGTCCTGGATTTAGTGAGCTCGTTAGCGAAGAGCCAGAAGGAGGCTGCAGCTCGCGCCCATGTTCCTCGTCTGAAATATCTTTCTGGTGGGCTGAGCTGCGTCTGAGAGTTTACACAAGAAGTCACACTGACTGTTCCTACAAGGTGGCAGAACATTCCAGAACTCCTTGACCACGTTCTCCACATGGGCCTGTGACAGTGAAACAGCTAAAGAACGGACACAACTAGCTCCATTTTTGTTGAAGGGGCCTCTACCCACTCCTGCACGTAGGCCAGGATAATTTTAGAGCACTGAGATAAAACACAAAAACAGCAATCATGCAGTTTTTGAAACTAACTCTGGGATTAAAAGGGAAGTATGTAAACAGCTAACTATGTTTTGTTAAGGATTTATAGAGACGGGGAGGTTTAGCTACCGTCACGTGAGAGACCATTATGCACGGACAAAGAAGTTTTGCAAACTTCCCCCAGACGCTGGTTGGAGCCCAGACAATTGCGATTGTCAGTCGCCTTCTTTCCCTCTCACATAGAAGACAAGCAAGGCAAAGCCCGCATAATTCCGAGATGGATCTCTGGGACGTTAGTTTCCACCATCTTCTCAATTTTCTGACTCTCTGAGATAAAGTCTCCTTCCTTGCCCCAACTCCGTGTCTCTCGATTATTGGCTGCCGTGTGGCCAGCAGAGCAAGTCTGGACTCAGTCACGGCCTCCCCATGCACCTGACCTCAGTTAGAAATGAAAGGGTTCCACCGTCCCTCATGGCTGCGCCTGCAGGAACAGCGCGTGGAGGAACCAGCTGGCTTTGGATCCTGCTCTCTGAAGCCTGCTGCATTCTGAGGGTCCATTTGGAAGAGGATGCAAAGCCTGCGTTGTCGGTGGTGTCGCCCATTTCCAGGCATGTGAGGCCATCGTCCAACAGAAGCACATACGGGGAGCCTCTGGCAGTGGGAAAGAGCCACAGTGAAGCCTGCCCTGCTTTTTCACAGAGAAATGTTAAGAACCCAATAAAGATCCTCCAAGTCGAAGTATTCGTAAGACGGGAAGTGCTCTCAAAACCCAGGGCTGAGGTCAGTGGAGCTGCGAGAGAGGGGGCAGGTAGACCCAAGCAACTGGAAAATGGGAAAACGTCACTGTACTAACATAAAAGCCAGCGTGTGGATACATAGAGAAAAATGAATGTATTTATACATGAGGTAATTTTATCCTCAGAGGCTTTAGCTGAGGCTGCAGGGAGAAGGGGACTTGTTTCAGAGGAACAGTGTCCGTCTCTAAGGGCCACCTGCGCCTCAGCCTCAGCCGGCGCCCAAGGGCACTTTGAGCCCTGGAGAGGTGGCCCCTCAGCCACCCACCCTCCCACAGGCAACAGTCACAAACTCGGGACACAAAAATAAAAAACAACTGTGGGGAGCGCCGGAGGGAGCCCTGAGGAGGCTGACCCTGGACGGAGCCCACACCTGAGGGAAGGGGTGGCAGGGCCAGCCGCCTTCTTTCTGCTGCTTTTCCCTAGAGGACGGCCTCAGTCCAAGCCAAGCAGAGGCAGCAAGAATCTGGACTAAAAGCCTGCAACTTACTGCCTCGAAGAGCCAAAGAACAGAATTTGGGCAGCTCAGAAATCTAGGAAAGGAGAAAGCCAGAGAAGGGGAGTCCTACCTTCCGTGGTCATCTCAATCTCCCGACACGAATAGTCAGCACAGCCCTTACGCTAGTCACCGTTGTAATCCTAGGCTTGACTTACGAGGCCCCAGCTGGGCTGAAAGCAAAGTTGAGCAAAATCGTCAGTCAGCCTCCCGACTGCCATACCTCACGAGTTTTAAAAATCACGTTGTGAGCCTGAGTCAGTCCTTCAAGGCAGATCCTGAGTGGCTGACTGGTCTTAAATTCAAAATAGAGCCACGGGGCCATTGGCTGGAAAACCCACATGCTTGTGGAACTTCGGGATCTGCTCCTGTTCCCACGCCACCCGAATCAACAGCTGCCAGGAAATCCCATGTCACCTCCTGGACCTTAACCCACAGACGGTACCTACGTTGACCAGTCATGACTAAACAAGCACTGGCCAATCAAAACTAAGCAAGCGTGCATCCCTCATTTGAATAAGCAGACCAGAGTGGGAACCGGGGTGGAAACCGTCTGTACAAGACGATGCTTCTCCCGGTTTTCTTGGCGCACACCGATGTTTTGTACCAAAGGCTGTGTTTCTCCAGCTGGCAAACTGCTTGCTAGAATGAAGTCTCTCTTTTTTTTTTTTTTTTTAAGAAAATCCTTTTTTGTAAACTTTTTGACAATATCTACATGGCCTAGCAGCGTATCATGATGTGGTGATGTTATTTATTCTGAAATTATGCTGAGAGAAACTGGTTATTGGCAGAAATTGAGTATATATACACATAGTGAAACGGTGACTGTAGTCAAACAAATTAACATATCCATCATCTGACATAGTTACCCATTTGTTGTGTGGCAAGAACACCTAAAATCTACTTTTTCAGCCAAAATCCCCAATACCGTGAGGTCTTATTCCTCTAGCCCTCATGCTGCCCTCCGGACTGGCCTCCTCCTTACCTGCTTTGTCTCCCATTTCTTCCCCGGCCCTGGGAACCACCATGTTATTCTCTATCTCTGTGCATTCAACGTGTGAGGACACAGAGGCCACAAGAGGCTGAGTGACCTGCGGGGTTGCTGGGTGAAGACGCCAGGATTTGGACTCAGGCCCTGACAGGGTTCCCGGGCCCTAGGAGATGGGATTTTGTCCTAAGCACGGATGTTGAAAGACAGTTTCTACATCTGTATTAGGTATGTAAACTATATCTTATCAAAATACAAGGACTCTGAGAAAATGAGTCAGGGGTTTGGGCTTTAGCAGGCATGTTTGGTGCCTGCCTGCTGAGGTGGGAGCGCGTCTCTGCTCAGTGAAGGCACAATCCTCACTCCGGCGAAAGTGGAGCCTGTGTAAGCGACGCCTGAACGCTGCGAGTGGATTGAAAGGTGTCACTGTGGAACTGAAAGTGTTACTGTAGCTCAGCGATATTTGCTGCCGGACTTGGGAAACAAATGACCAGCATGAGAAACCATTTCACGATTCCACGAGGAGCGTGAGGAAGGGGCCAGCCGGCCGCTAGTCTGTGTGAGGCGGGCACAGGCAGGTCTCACAGATGCTCACCTGTGGCCAGTGGCTGGGACACGCGTTCCTCTGTGCTGTGAGGTCAGCAGCGCGGTCTCCACACTAGCGACTGGATCACTTAGCACAATGTGCAGATTTTTTTTTTGACTAGGCCATATTTATAGTGGCTTTAAAAAATCATGTACACATCTTATACCTTTAATTAATATAAAGGCTTCACATACATATTTAATACATGTGTTTATTATTTAGCGTGTGGTTATATTTTCTCGACAGCAGACATCCATATGTTCCTATTCCTAGCAGATCTGTAGGGCTCGCGTCTTCATGCTGCGTCGGTCGTCTGTCACGCACGCGGCTCTCACCTTTTGTGTTGACGGACAAACTCGGTCTGTACCATCGTTGAAGAGCAGGCCATTTTGTTTGTGTGGTTGCATGTTCTCCTGGAGTTCTAAATTTCTTGTAAAGAATATGATGTTTAAAATTTTTTTATTTTATTTTATTTTATTTTATTTTTTATTTTTTATTTTTTTTTATTTTTTATTTTTTTTGAGACGGAGTCTCGCTCTGTCGCCCAGGCTGGAGTGCAGTGGCCGGATCTCTGCTCACTGCAAGCTCCGCCTCCCGGGTTCACGCCATTCTCCTGCCTCAGCCTCCCGAGTAGCTGGGACTACAGGCGCCCGCCACCTCGCCCGGCTAGTTTTTTGTATTTTTTTAGTAGAGACGGGGTTTCACCGGGTTAACCAGGATGGTCTCGATCTCCTGACCTCGTGATCCACCCGTCTCGGCCTCCCAAAGTGCTGGGATTACAGGCTTGAGCCACCGCGCCCGGCCCAATTTTTTTATTTTTATAATATTTTGACAGAGTCTCGCTCTGTTGCCGAGGCTGGAGTGCAGTGGTACGATCACTGTTTACCGCAGCCTCGACCTCCCAGGCTGAACCGATCCTCCCACCTCAGCCTCTAGAATAGGTGGGACCACAGGCGTGCCACTCCGTGCCTGGCTAATCTTTTATAGTTTGTAGAGACAGGATCTCCCTGTGTTGCCCAGGCTGGTCTCAAACTCCTGGGTTCAAGTGATTGAGCCTTCCAAAGTGCTGGGATTACAGGCATGAGCCACCATACCTGGATGGCATTTTAAATTTTATCATCCTTTAAAAAGTTTCTTCCTAAATGAATTTAATTTGAAGTAGGACTAAGATAATTGAGTGTACATGAGCTATTTTCTGTGTTCTCCTTTGTTTAGAGTTTCATAATTATCTCCCTGATTGGAATACATACATAATACTGACCTTATTATCGTGTTGTAATTCTTTGGCTTTCATTGTTAATTGCATTTGTCAGTGTCTTCAGTATATGAGACTATTGATCAAGCCATAGAGGACGTATAAATATGACTAAAGCTTCCAGCGGTTTGTGAATGTTATGGACAGAGATTTGTTTCCAGGTTGAGATTATCTGTTGTCTGTCCCTGCAACCATGGAGTTGATTTGAATAGAAAGAACTTAGCCTGAGGCCTGTTCCAGGGGCCCAGGATGGGTGCCCCACCGTGAGGGGGCTACAGAGAGCCTGAGTGCACTGCCCGGCACCTTGCACCTTCTGGGGGGTCCCAGCAGGCCCTCACCCCCCAGAGGCACATCTTCCATTCGGTTCTCTTATGAGGCCTATTTCCAAAAAGTTTTCTGAGACACTTTATAGTATTAAGACATAGAGGCAAAAGGGCTCTCAGACAAAAATAGTCCAGAGACTTTTTGGAAAAAAGAAATGTAATTATTCCAGCTCCCTGGCGTGTGGTGTTACTGCTTTTCTGGAGTAGGGGGAGTGGTTATTTGTTTGTCTGACAGCTTCATTAAGATGTAATTGATACACAGTCAACCTTTGCACAACACAGGTTTGAACGGCCAGGTCCAACTGACATGCGGATTTTCACTGGCCTCTGCTACCTCTGAGACAGCAAGACCAACCCCTCCTCTTCCTCTTCTCCTCCTCAGCCCACTCAATGTGAAGACGAAGACGATGAAGACCTTCATGATGGTCCACTTCCATTTAATGAATAGTAAATATATTGTCTCTTTCTTATGATTTTCGAATAACATCTTATTTTCTCTAGCTCACTTTATTGTGAGAATATACCATATAATCTATATGGCATACAGAATGTTCATTGACTGTTTATGTTATAGGTTAGTCTCCTGGGTGACAGTCAGCTATGAGTAGTTACATTTTGGAGGAGTCAAAAGTTATACTCAGATTTTTGACCACGTGGGAGGTTGACATCCCTAACCCCCACATTGTTCAAGGTTCAAGTGAACAATTAACTGCACATATGTAAGGCATGCAATTTGATGAATTCTGACATTTGTATACACTAGTGAAACCATCACCACAATCATGATAACGGACACAAACCACAATTCCTCATGGCCATTACTACCAGATCACTCTTGCAGGAATACAGACAAGAAAATGATCAAAGCCAAGCTGTAGTGAGTTTCTATTTCATACCCACCAGAATGGCTGTAATAAAAAAAAAAAAAAAGCCAGGTAATAACAAGTGTTGGTGAGGATGTGGAGAAATCAGAACGCTTGTACACTGCTGATTGGAATGAAAATGGTGCAGCTGACTTGGAAAACCGTCTAGCAGCTCCTCCAAAAGCTACAGGTGAAGTTACCGTATGACCCAGCAGTTTCTTTTCTGGAGAACTGAAAACATACGTCCACGTAGAAACTTGTACTTAGTTCACAGCGGCATTATTCATGATCGCCAAAAAGTAGAACAACCCAAATGTCCCATCAGCTGGTGTCTGGGTAAACGAAGGGCAGTGCCTCCGTATTGCGGCATATTCAGCCACGGGCAGGAATGAAGGGCGGCCACGCGCTGCCACGCGCACGGACGTCGAGAGCCTCGTGCTTGAGTCAATAAGCCAAAGGCCGTGTGCTATGTGACCCCACTTCTGTGAAATGTCCTCAATAGACAAATCCAGAGAGAGTAAATTCGAGGTTGCCTCGGGTGGGGGATTGGGGAGGGTGGTGAGTAGGGAGGTGGGTAAAGGGCACAGGATGTCTTTCTGGGGTGAGGTGACATGTTCTAAACCTGAGTATGGTGCTGGTTGCACAGCTGTGTGACAGTAGAAGCAGTGGAATTACGTGCTTTAATGTGTGAATTGTGTGGCCTGTGAATTACAGCTCGATCAAGCCGTTCTTTACAGAAGTGCTGATGACCGGTACCACCACCGCGTCTCCACGGCTGCTCTGCGGAGCCCTCTGTGCCCCATCCCATTTAGGGGCCCTAGATAGACGCCGCTGTTTCTGCATGAGGAAGCTTAGTGAGGTTCAGGAGCTTGTCCAACATCCCCCCACTTAGCCAGTAAGGGGCAGAATCTGGTGATTAAAAAAACACACAAAAAAACCCCTAGCTTTCTTATGGTGTAATTGACATATAGTAAACTGCACCAATTTTTTTTGTTTTTTTTTTCCAGATGGCGTCTAGCTCTGACGCCCAGGCTGGAGTGCAGTGGCACGATCTCAGCTCACTGCCACCTCCGCCTCCCGGGTTCAAGCAGTTCTCTTGCCTCAGCCTCCCGAGTAGATGGGATTACAGGCACCTGCCACCACACTCAGCTAATTTTTGTATTTTTAGTAGAGACAGGGTTTCACTGTGTTGGCCAGGCTGGTCTCAAACTCCTGACCTCGTGATACACCCGCCTCTGCCTCCCAAAGTACTGGGATTACAGGTGTGAGCCACCGCGCCCGGCCACACTGCCCTGATTTAAAGAGCACAATTGCCCAAGCTCGGGCACGGGCGCACCCCTGTGGAAGCCGTAATCAAAACAGTGGACATGTTGCGAACGGGACCCCAGTTCACTCTGACAAAAGGAAAAATAACAAAACTCAGCTGAAAGCTGAGTCCTGCAAGAAGCTGCCTTTCCTCCTATTCCTGAGCAGACAGCTGCAGAAAACAGGTTCGACATCTCCGCAGGGAGCTACTCTGTGTTCACCGTCTCTTCTGTGAAGTGCTGGTCTACTTAGCAGGAGACCAGTACATAATTGACTATTGCCCTACCTGCTCCTTTTCTCTTGCAACACGTGGATTACCACACCCCTCCTCTTTCCCCTCCAGCCCACTTTTCCCCTTTAAATATTAAAGCTTCAGGATCATCTTTGGAAAAAGGCACAGACCACGGACTGTTTCTGGGATTCCGTCTTTTCTTCTTCCGGGCATGTCCTTAACCTTGGCAAAATGAACTTGTAAATGGATTGAGACCTGTTTCAGATACTTTTTGGTTTACAATATCCATGCCCCAGAGTTCCCTCCTGCCCAGTCCTAATCTCCAGCATCTCCCTGCCCCCTACCCTGTCCCCAGACAACTGGTGGTCTGTTTTCTCTCATTAGAGATTCGTTGGCCTTTTTATAGAAATGAAAACATATGGTGTATTTCTTTTTTGTCTGGCTTTTAAAATTCCGTAGTGTTGTTTTGAAATTCTTCCAGGCCGTACGCAATACGCATGTCAATAAGTCGTTCTTTTTGATGGCCGAGTAGTATTCCACGGTATTGATTACACCACAGTCTCTGTATTCATCTGTTGATGAGCATTTGGGTTGCCTACAGTTTGGGACTCTTACAAATATAGCTGCTATGAACAACTGTGTGCAAGTCTATATGGATAAGCGGTTGTCCCCTGTTATCCATGGGGGATGCCTTCCGAGATGCCCCCGACAGTGGGTGACCGAAACCTCCAGTAGTACTAAAGCTGACTGCCGTGCATCGGGACACGCCTCCACTCAGGACTTCCATTCACAAACTTAACGCTTTTTCCATCTTAGCTAAGCACTCACTATACACTGTGGCAGTAACTTTTGCAATTTGAGGAGCAATAGCAAAACTCAAATGAATTTCCTTTTCCTTCTTCACAGTGTCACACATAGATGCTTTGTTCTTGCTGTAGAGCTCAGCAACCTCAGCGTGTGATTTTTTTTCTTCCCTTATTAAGTCAAAAACCCTCACCTTTTCATTTGAAGGAAGCAACTGATGTCTTCTCTTTGGCGTATCCCAATTGCCAGCACCAGTCCCCTTGCACTCTGGGGCCGCTATGGAGTAAAACAAGGGTGACTTGGGCACAAGCACTGTGGTACCGTGACACACATCAATCTGATCCCGAGACAGCTCCTCAGAGGCGATGACAGTGCGGACATGCTGGAGAAAGGGAGGATTCACGCCCCGCCAGGACCGAGCGGGACAGGGCAGGCTGAGTGACGCTACTCAGAATGACGTGGAATTTAGGACATGAATTGTTTATTTCTGGAAGTTTCCATGTAACATTTTCAGACCACAGGTGACTGCGGGTAACTGAAAGTGCAGAAACTGAGATAAGGGGTGTCTGCTGTGTGTTTCCTTTCTCCTGGGTAAATACCTGGGGGTGGAGCGGTGAGGTCATAAGATGGGTCTATCAGAACTTCTTGAGAATGGCCAGGCTGGCTTCCAGAGTGGTTATTCCTTGTTGTAGCCCCCACAGCCAGCGGTGAGAACACAGCTAGCGTCTGGAGTTCAGCTGCCCAGACCCGAAGACCAGGGGGGCTACGGTCACGCGTGTGGTGGGGCTGATATGCCAATGGCGTGCGGCCCCCACAGCCCCTGCAGCTGCTCCCCTGGACCCGCCTCCACTAGAAGCAAACAGGCCCGAGCCTTGAAGGGGATGCTCCCCCTTTCTCATGTGTGTTTCTCATGGCTTCTGTGGGAGCTGTTGCTTGTCTGTCACCGTCTACCAGAAAGTAATAAAACAAATGAACCAGCCGCAAATGAAATGGAGTTGAAATTAGGAGTTCGCTTTTAGTAGAATAATTTGTTATTTTCCATTAACTTAGGCTTATGATTAGGACTTTATATTTCCACCTATAATATGTTGATCTTTAAAGGTGTTCCATACCGAGTTCCTTGATTTCCCATCAGAGCCTAGAGGGGGTCACAGGAAACGCCTGGCAGCTTCTGGGACAGGGAGGGAGTCGGGGGCGAGGAGGTTGCCGCTCTGCTCTTGTGGTCCTAAAACAGTGACCGCATGCCTGTAGGTGCTTGAAATAAAGAGACAAATACGGCCAGGCACAGTGGCTCATACCTGTAACCTCAGCACTTTGGGAGGCCGAGGCGAGTGGATCACCTGAGGTCAGGAGTTCGAGACCGGCCTGGTCAACATGGCGAAACCCTGTCTCTACAGAAAATACAAAAATTGGCCGGGTGCGGTGGCTCAAGCCTGTAATCCCAGCACTTTGGGAGGCCGAGACGGGCGGATCACGAGGTCAGGAGATCAAGACCATCCTGGCTAACACAGTGAAACCCCACCTCTACTAAAAAAATACAAAAAAACTAGCCGGGCGAGGTGGCGGGCGCCTGTAATCCCAGCTACTTGGGAGGCTGAGGCAGGAGAATGGCGTAAACCCGGGAGGCGGAGCTTGCAGTGAGCTGAGATCCGGCCACTGTACTCCAGCCTGGGCGACAGAGCGAGACTCCGTCTCAAAAAAAAAAAAAAAAAGAAAATACAAAAATTAGCCAGCTGTGGTGGCGGCGCCTGTAATCCCAGCTACTCGGGAGCCTGAGGCAGGAGAATGGCTTAAACCAGGGAGGCAGAGGTTGCAGTGAGCTGAGAATCAGCCACTTCACTCCAGCCTGGGCGACAGAGTGAGAGACTCCGTTTCAAAAAAAAAAAAAAAGAGACAAATACAACTTCTGTTGTCATCCTTTATTGGGGAAGCAGATGGTAAAAAATAAAAATGAATAGAGGTAGGCACACATGAAATTAGTTGCTGTGTAGAAGGAATAGGAAAGACAGATGAAAATTGGAGGAATCAGACAGGGTGCTATTACAATTAGGGTGACCATGTAATTTATCTTTTGAACTAGGATAATTTTTTTAAAACTTTTAATTTTGAGATAATTGTAGATTCACACACTGTTGCAAGAATTAACACAGACAGAATTCCATATGCCCTCACCCACTTTCCCCAGCAGAAATATTTAGCATAACTCGTCCACTACCACAGCCAGATAACACACTGATACACTCCCAGCCCCGCTCAGAGCTCACCAGTTTCATATCAAACCGTGATGACCTTGTGACAGATGTGGACAGTGACTGCCCATGGTCACCCGTGCTTTTTCTAGGAACCTACAGAACCTGTTCAGGGAGATAGAAAGAAAAACGGGACACAGACAGTTCCTGCCATGAGGACTTTCTGTCTACTGGAGGCACACCTCAGAATTCGGACAATTCTATGCAAAGTGGAAAGCGTGAAGTGAATGACAGAGTACCAGGATGCAGACAGCGTTAACCTCCACTTGAGAGGCTGGGGACAGTGTCATGTTGGACAAGACAGCCGAGTTCGTCCTTGGCCCCTGGGTGGCTGCCTCTTGCTGTTCCTGGCATAGGTTAGTGGCTAGGAGCCAAACTGTCTGGGCTGGCATCTTGCCTCCCTCCTCACTGCCTGTGTAACTGTGGGCAGGGCGCTTGACCTCGAGCCTCCATTTCTCTTCTGTAAGAATGAAGGAGTAACAGCGCCTAGCTCGTGGAGGTGGGGAGGGCTGCCTGAAACACACATACAGAGAGTTCAGAACGCGTGCGGCCTTGAGGGCATGTGGATAAATGGCTACTTTGCTATCACCCACAGGTAGAAGATGCTTCATATGCATTCATTGACTGGGTATGAACGTGGAGAACCCGGCTAGCCATCCAGTGGGAGCGAATGGAATATTTAACTTGGGGCCGAGTTGGGCCTACACAGAAGACAGGTTGCGTGCGTCGTGTGGAGCTGGGGAGGAAGGCTGTGGCTGCAGATGCAATTCTGCAGGGTTACTGGTGAGGATGGGACAGGGTGAGCCTCGGGGATTCAGGTGGCCAAGTCAAGTCAGGTGAGAAGAGAATACGGGACGGGGCGACAGGCTCTGCTCTTCTGGGAGTTAAGAAGGTCCAGCAAGGGCTGATACTGTCCAGGTGGGTTCTCTGGGAAGCGGCTCTGAAACAGGCTGGTGCTCAGCAAGGGGAAGAGCGCTGTGGGCCGGGGACGCTGGGCCACCTGCCATCCCCACGGTGGCCTCCACCCATCCCTGCAGAGTGCCGTGGTGTGGATGGCCTTCAGAATTATCCTGGCCATGGTGAGGGGGCCTGGCCCTCACACTGCCAAGACAACAGATGGTTGGATGGGGGCTGTCCCCAGAAGGAGGGGTGATGGGGGAGTGAGGCCCTCTCTCCTGAGGGCGAGCCTGGTGTGCACTGAACATCTTTCACATGGGAATGTGGCTGACTGCTGTGGGGTCTCCAGGAGGGGTGAAGGCAGGAGAAGGGCCTGGCAGTGAGGAGCATGAGGGTCTAGGAGCAATTGGCCATGGAGTTTAGGGATCTAAGCCTTTGGTGATGCCCGGGAGACTGGGAGCATGCGAGGACATTTCCTTGTCAGTACACGAGGTGAGGAGGTGGAGGCAGAACTGTGAAGGGCCTGCGGCAAGGAGCCACGTGGCCCAGGGAGGCCTGGCTGGTGGAGTAAGAATTGGTGGGGGGGCTTGCTGGGACCGGCACGCCAGGCTGCGCTGCCCTCACTTGGGGGGTGAGGCTTTTGCCCTGAGGCTTCTCTGTGCGGCCGGAAGGTGCACCCAGGCCTGCGCTTCCTGGAGCTGCAACCTCTCCCTGCAGCTTAGGTGTCCGGGCTCCGTGCCTGGATCAAGGTGAGATCCTTGGCACTGGGAACATAGTCTGTGCTGGGGCTGGATTCTGAGCAGCAGGGACTGGGCCTAATTGGCTTCCCTGTTGCTTTCCAGAGCCCTCAAGGGCAGGGTGTCAGGCATCCAGGAAAAGAGAAGGCACTTCCACCGACTGGAGAGCCTGCAGCGCCACAACAGAGAGCCAAGGGGGCCTTCAGGACTCAAACAGAGGCAAACGTGGATCCCTTAACTGCTCGCTGGAGAATCCAAAGGCTTCGCTCACAGCAGAGAAGTCTGTGCGTAGCTGGGCTGAGCTTTGGCGCCACAGTCCCGTGTCTGAAGCCTGGAGCGGCCTGAGGGCACTTCTGATCTCCTCACAGGCCTCAGTTTCCTCTTCAGTGAAACCAGGGTGGATAAGAATGGTGCCACCTGCAGAGATGTTGGGCTCAGAGATGAGCAAGATCATGGAAGCAGAGCATTAGCCCCTACACTGTTGGGTGCGTGTTTGCTGCTGTTACAACGGTTGCAGGTAGGTGAACCCATTTGCGTAAATTCCAGCTGGAATTGAGCAACTCTGTTTTGGTCATGATCAGCAATCCTGTTCCAAAACACACAGCTCCTGCCTGGGCACCTCCCCTCCCTTCCTCTGGCAATGAGGGCTGCCAAGGTCGGGGCTTCAGAAGGTGGCAGGGAGAATCAGCAGAGCCTCCACTGCCATCAGCCAGCACTGCCACACACCCAAACGACACAAACAGCAGCAAGGCCTCCTGGCTGGGTCAGCTGCCCTTGCTGTGGGCTCTGGGGGCGGCCACAGCCACTCTACTGTAGCCACATGCAGGCATCCTCTGGCTGTGGAGCAGCCACTGGCCCATGGCCGAGTGTGCACTCAGCTGTGTCTCGGGACAGCCTGGCCAGGTGGAGTACAGGCCAGTGGAGGAGACAGGCCTCTGTCACCCAGCCCAGGCCCAGGGAGAGTAAGGCGTGGACAGGCGGCTAGCAGCTCCTACAGCAAGCAGCCAGGATGGTCCCCCGATGCACAGGAGTAGTCTCCCTGAAGTGAGTTCTAAGCCACACATTCCCAAAAACACAGCTGAAGGAACCCATCTGGGAGGCGGAGGCTCTCACCTAATACCTCGGGGTCCTGGGCCCACCGCATCCCGTCTGTGCCTGGCATTGTCCCTTCCTTGGAAGCTGCTACTCCCTGACTTGTCTCCCTTTGCCCTGGTGGCTCCTTTAGAGCTGGGTCATCTTTATTTTTGTGTCCACAGGGCCTGGCACAGGTAGGGGTTAGTAGGTCCACCTGGCTGCCCACCAGTGCCTCAGGCAGTGCTGGCCCAGGATGATCGCATCCCGCTGAGACCCTCCCGTCAGCTCTGGGGCCCAAAGGCTCAGCGAGTGGGCTTCAGGCTCTGCCCAGGGCTACAGTTGGGCTCAGGATGCAAAGGCCTGTCCTCAGGAAGCCCGAGACTTACAGGAAGGTGCGAGGTGAAAACACCTTCGGTTTTCGCAGGGCCTTCGTCCCAAAGATTGCCCTTGAATAAACTCTTCAACTTTCAGCACCCAGGGGTGCTGCCAGATCAGTCATTCTTGCCTCACCGCAGGCCAAGGGCCCAGAGCTGCTGGACCATGGGTGAGATGCGAGCAGCACCCAGAAGTCACACCCCTCTCCCCTCCCCAGCACCCCCCGACTATGACACAGTGCCCCGCGTGCCCCGGAAACCTGATGGATCTTTTCACGTGCCTGAAAGGCTCACCTCGCTCCCAGGGAAAAATTGTGAGCCAGGTACACTCTGGCAAGGAGAAAACAAATCCGTCTGAACTTCGGTGCCCTTGTTTGTTGATCACAACTGTCATGTATGCCTGTGGGTTTAAGCAACGCCACTGTAAAAAACCCACTGCATATTTACTGTTGGTGTGGGAGGCACTGTGCAGGGAGGCCTGGCTCCTGGAGGCTGACTGTGGAATTACTGTGGAAGGAACTGGAGTTAGTAGTTTTTACCTGTGACTTTTAAACAAAGGCCGTCAGAGAAAGGGAAGAAAGAGATTTCATGGAATAAGGGAGCAATATTATTTTCCAAGTCATGCTGTGAGCTAAGAAAATTCTGTTTTCTTTAACGTGACTCTTCATGACATGCAGGTGTAAGGATGACATGCCAAATATAAACACCGTGACGAAAATGAGATATTCCTCCATATGCATGCATTACATTTTGTGAATTTTACAGTGTGTGTTTTCTTCTTTGTATTTATAGTTCTTCAATAATTATTACCTCACTAAAGGATGTGAATTACATAAAAGTTGGAACCTGATTTCTAATTTTTTTCAGCTTACTTCTTGTATTTAGGAGAAATGTTTTTGTGTTTTGCCACTGAGGCGTCCTCCAGAAATGAGCTGCCCTGCTCGCTCCAGAGGAGACTGCGTCCCGCCCGGCCAGATCACCGGCTGCTGTGGTCCCGCCCGGCCAGATCACCGGCTGCTGTGGTCGCCCGGCGGATCACTGGCTGCTGTGTCCCTGCCCGGCGGATTCAGGCTGTCCCTGCCCGGCCACATCACCCGGCTGGTCCACCTGTGGCCAGATCACTGGGCTACAGCGCCCGGCCCGAAAGATCACTGGCTACTGTTGTCCCGCCCGGCCAGATCACCGGGCTGTGTCCCCACCGGCCAGTCACGGCTACTGTAGTCCCGCCCGGCCAGATCACCGGCTACTGTGGTCCCCCACGACCCGAATCACGGCTGCTGTGGTCCCGCCCGGCCAGATCACCGGCTGCTGTAGTCCCGCCCGTCCAGATCACCGGGTACTGTGGTCCCACCGGCTGGATCACTGGGTTACTGTGGTCTGGGGCAGATCACGGAGCTGCGGGCTGCGTCCGCCCACGGCGAGATCACCAGCTGCTGTGGTCGCCCGGCGGATCACCGGGCTACCTGTGGTCCAGCCACGGCCGAAGATCACCGGCTACCCGGCCAGATCACCGGCTGCTGTGGTCCCGCCCGGCCAGATCACCGGGTTACTGTGGTCCCACCCGGCTGGATCACTGGGTTACTGTGGTCCTGCCCGGCCAGATCACCGGGCTGCGGGCTGCGTCCCGCCCGGCCGAATCACCAGCTGCTGTGGTCTCGCCCGGCCGGATCACCGGGCTACTGTGGTCCAGCCCGGCCAGATCACCGGCTACTGTGGTCCCCCCCGGCCGGATCACCAGGCTGCTGTGGTCCCTTTGTGCAAGGGCCCTGGGCCCAGAGCCCAGCAGGGGTCCGAGATGTTGTGCAGCCATAGACCAGGCCTAGAAGGAAAAGAGCTAGGAAAATATTTTAGGCTCATTTTGGTTTCAAAATTAAGTTTTGAGATTCTTTTAACTATCAGACATTTCAGCTAAATTTCATGTTAACAATGTTTTAGGACTCGATTCTAAAGCCACACAGGTACAAATACCAAATAACTCAGGCACGTGGTTGCTCATTGTGGCCTCATTTGTAGACACAAAAGCTGCTTGTGAGCAGGGGTCTGGCTGGGTGAACCACAGTCCACCCACAGTGGGGCTGAGGCCCCGAGGAGGGCCAGGCACTACTGTGCAAGGATGAAAAGGGAGAGCTCAAAATGTGGCTAAGTGGAAATCAAGATGCAGAGGCGTGTGTATTCGATGCTCACTTTTGCTAAGAAAGGTAGAGAAACATGAATACGTTCTAGTAACTTGCTTGTATTCACAAAAAGGAACATTGGAGGATAAACCAAAATCTGCCCGGGAGGGAAGGGACAGAGTGAAGAGGACGAGGATGTGAGATGGAGGCTTCTTTCAATAGAGCGTGCAATAGGATTTTGACTTTGGGGTCAGGTAAGTACCATATATTTTTTTAAAATACTAAAGGCAAGAACAATTCTTAAAAATTAAAAAGAAACTGAAATGAATGAACCTGTATGGTTGTTGACACATGCACCCAGAGAAAATGGCTATTTTAAGAGACTTTAAAACACAGTATTTACACCACCCATCCTTAATGGAAACTCTTCTGGACAGCAGCAGACCTGCAAAGAGATAGAGCTTTAACCTTATTCAGTAGTCTTGTCATTCATAGGAACATGGGATTGCTAACTGCTAAACCATTGCATATATAATAGATAAACCATTTTAGATATAAAGCATATAATATAAATGCATGGGTGGCCGGGCACGGTGGCTCAATCCCAGCACTTTGGGAGGCCGAGGTGGGAGGATCATGAGGTCAGGAGATTGAGACCATCCTGGCTAACACGGTGAAACCCCATCTCTACTAAAAATACAAAAAAATTAGCCAGGCGTGGTGGCGGGCATCTGTAGTCCCAGCTACTCTGGAGGCTGAGGCAGAAGAATGGTGTGAACCTGGGAGGCAGAGCTTGCAGTGAGCCGAGATCACGCCACTGCACTCCAGCCTGGGCGACAGAGCGAGACTCCGTCTCAAAAAAAAAAAAAAGCATAGGTATGTATTTTATATGTGTATTAAATGTATTCACAATTTTTACATCTATATCTTGATAAAGCAAATAAATTAGGTTACAGTTGTTATCAAACAAGAGTTTTGGAAGATGAAATATTATGATGCAAAGGTGAAATCCAAGTATTAGGTAAAGTCCCTTTGAAGTTAAATTTAAATCAGAAGTATTAGCTTCACTCGTGATTTTGAAGAATTCATATTTCCAGCTCTGTCCACTAAAAATATCTGCAAGGAAATGTAACTCATTGACAATGGCCCCCTTGAAAAAAAAATATGTATATACAAGCGTAGATACAGCTGCTGTGTATCCATGATTTGGATAATTATTTCAATGTTAATCTTGTTATATTAAATAATGTAATTAAGAAAATAAAAACCTGAAGCTTATATTCAAGTTATGATGTCATGTCTATAATATACAAATTGAATTGAATATCTGTAATTATTGTAGATTAGTCAATATGAATAATTCAATCCTAAACATGCATTGTGTTTTATTATTCATAATGATTAATTTAATTAATTATCAAATTTCAATGTTGTTTTGGTTGCATGGGTGAAGACTTTTACAATAATACTCTGTATTGCATCTATAGAAGAGTGCAAGTCAATTATTTAAATAATCTCTTCACTGGGAATGATTTAATATATGCATATAAGCATGTACACATGTATTTTCCTAGGAAGAGTGATTAGAAATCTTGCTGATTCTAGAAATTTCGTAGTCTGCTCAGAGAAAGTAATTTATTAACTTCAGTAGAAAATATGCAGCGGCAATTTCTTCCTCTTTGTCTTCTTTTCTTGTTTTGAGATGGAATCTCGCTCTGTCGCCAGGCTGGAGTGCAGTGGCGCAATCTCGGCTCACTGCAACCTCCACCTCCTGGGTTCAAGTGGTTCTTCTGCCTCAACCTCCTGAGTAGCTGGGGCTACAGGCGCCCACCGCCATGCCTAGCTAATTTTTGTATTTTTAGTAGAGACGGGGTTTCACCATGTTGGCCAGAATAGTCTTGATCTCTTGACCTCGTGGTCCACCCACTTCGGCCTCCCAAGGTGCTGGGATTACAGGCGTGGGCCACCGCGCCCAGCCCAGCAATTTCTAATTTTAGATAAAATAAAACCAGAAAGTAGACATTATAGTAATGAAAATAAAAAAGAAATCTCAAGATGATAGAGTTAATAAACAGCTAGAAAGGCATTACCTCACAATTTAAAAGTAAATTCTAGAGGGATTGAAAATTTTAGTGTAAAAAATAAAACTATAATATTAGAAGAAGTTTTAGGGGAGTATTTCTGTAACTTTGGGTGTGAGAGAGGCGCCTAAGCAGGAAAGGAAACCAAGAAGGAAAAGATAGGCATTTAAAAATTTTTTTATTTGGTAAAATATGCAAAACACAAAATTTTCGATTTCTAACCATGTTTAAGTGTCCAGTTCAGTGGCGGTGAGTACCATCGCACAGCTGTGCAACCATCACAATCACTGTCCACCTCCATAACATTCCCATATTGCCAACACACAACACTTATATGCTGCACCGCAAAAGATGTCATAAGGAAAGGCAAGAGATAGTATGTTGAGTAAAAACTTTAGCAACACTTGATATTTCTGGCACACAAAGCTCTCCTATTATTTGGTAAAAGACATTCCAAAAGAAAAACGGATAAAATAACATGAATAGACATTTCACATACACTGAAATCTAGATGACTAATAGACATCTGAAAATTGGTTGATGAAATGCAAATTAAAGCAATAATAAAATACCATTTTAACCCATCAGATTGACAAAAATTAAAATGAGTCTTCATCCTTACATTGCTGGTATGAATAAATTGCTGAAAATTGATGTGGGGAATACAAATTAAAGCAATAATGTGATACCATTTTTCTTATTAAACCAACAAAAATTAAAATGAGTGAAACATCCTTGCATTATTTGTAGGAGTGGGAACTGCTAAAGCTTTTGGAGAATGTAATCTAAAAAGATCTGTTAAAACTTGAAATCCAGCCAGGCTTGGTGGTTTACACCTGTACTCCTGGCTACTTGGGAGGCTGAGGTGGGAGGATTGCTGGATCCCAGCAGGCTGAGGCTGCAGTGAGCTGTGATGGCACCACTGTACTCCAGCCTGGGCAACAGAGCAAGACCCTATCTCAGAAAAAACCACAAACAAACCAAAAAGCAAAATTAAAATCATTTGACCCAGCAATCAACCTTTAAGAGTCTATCCTATAAAAATTAGAGATCAGTGGTGTGTGTGGGGTGGGGAGGGGGAGGGGTGTGTGTGCGTGTGTGTGGGTGGGGAGGGGGAGGGGTGTGTGTGCGCGTGTGTATGAAAGGTTATCGCAGCATTGTTGCACTGGCCAAAAAAAAAAAAAAAAAAAAAAACCCAAATGACCTGATGTCCACCAATAAGGCTGTACAAGTTAGGATATGCTACTTTATCCAAAGGAAATAAGCCAAATAGCTCAAAAAAGTCAATGGCCTAAAACAGGTTTCCTTGTAAGACTGCAGGAGAGCTGCACACATTGCCCTCAGGAGACCAGGTGGAGGGTCCTTCTGGGGATGTGTGTTCACTCTTGCCACAGCTGGAGGAAGCAGGTCCTGAGTCTTGCACTGCAAAGTGATGAGAACGAAGCCCTGGTTATGCTGGACTTCAAGGCATGGCTGCCCAGAAGGGTAACAGGATATTGATGAACTGTGAAAAATCTCTGCTACAAAGGGAATGGTTGGATAAATTGTAGTTCTGTCTAACTGTGGAATAGTATGTATTCCTAACAAAATGAGTTAGACTTATGCTGGGAAGATTGCTTGTGGTCTAGTAAGTGATTAGCAAGTGGCAGAGTGAGATGCATCCAATTATCCCACTGAAAACAACAGCC